TAATAATAACAAATTTTAAAAAAATTATATAGCTATATGAAATTTTATTCTAACTGTATTTTAAAATTAATATATATTTATATCAAAATGAATTTGTATATATATCTATGTATATAAAAATAAATAAAAATAATAAGAAATATACATACGTCCATATACAAAATTACATAAATAATTATATAAATATACAAGTAGACTTCAAATATATAAATATGCATATATATTTAAATTCTATGTGCGTATTTATGTAATATTTTACATAATTCAGTAATTTTATTGATTGCAATTTGAGGGACCTGCCTGCCAACCCAGGCCGAAATTCCAGAGAATTTAATTTGCTAGCACTGTATTTTACCCTGTAACGTTCTACGACACCCTAAAACCTGTACATGGGGGGTACTGTTTTACTCGGGAGACTTCGCTGAACACAAATATTGGTGATTCAAAACAGTAAAACATATCACAGCGATGATATTGTCAGTGAAAGTTACTTTTTTTGCATTTTTCACACACAAACAGCACTTTTACTGATGATATAATTGTTGTGATACGTTTTTCAGTTTTTAAACACTAATATTTGTGTTCAGCGATGTCTCCCGAGTAAAACAGTACCCCCCATGTACAGGTTTTATAGCATTTTTGAAAGTTACAAGGTCAAATATATGGGTCAAATATTTTTACATTGAAAATGGCCAGGTTGGTTACGTTGCCTTTGAGAGCGTATGGTAGCCCAGGAATGAGAATTACCCCATGATGGCATACCATTTGCAAAAGAAGACAACCCAAGGTATTGCAAATGGGGTATGTCCAGTCTTTTTTAGTAACCACTTGGTCACAAACACTGGCCAAAATTAGCGTTCAATTTAGTTTTTTTACTTTTTCACACACAAACAAATATGAATGCTTACTTTGGCCAGTGTTTTCGACTAAGTGGCTACTAAAAAAGACTGGACATACCCCATATTGAATACCCTGGGTTGTCTGCTTTAAAAAAAATATGTACATGTGGGGTGTTATTCAGAGATTTATGACAGATAATAGTGTTACAATGTCACTATTGATAAATTTTAAAAATGTATGTTTTGAAACCGCAATATCCTACTTGTACCTATAGCCCTATAACATGCAAAAAAAAAGCAAAAAAGCACGTAAACACTAGGTATTTTTAAACTCAGGACAAATTTTGAATCTATTTAGCAGTTTTTTTCATTCGCTTTTGTAGATGAGTAAAAGATTTTTCAAGTAAAAGTCAAAAAACATGTATTTTTTTCAATTTTTCATCAGATTTTTGTATTTTTTTTTAACCCCTTAAGGACGGAGGGCGTACTATTACGCCCTGCAGGAGCCGGCTCTAAACGCCGGCGGGCGTAATAGTACGCCCTCACTTTAATGGCCGCCCACGTGGCCGGCGCTATTCGCCCGCTGCAGATCGCGGTCGGGGGGGATGCCAGGCCCCCCCAGGCAACCCCCCCTGTGGCCGGTGACCGCGATCTGCAGTCACTGATCGCAGTGACAGGCTGTCACTGCGATCAGTTTTTTAACGTGTGTCAGCCGATTTCAAATCGGCTGACACACGTGGCCGGCGGCTTTCTGCAATGCAGATCGCGGTCGGGGGACTTACCTGGCCCCCCAGGCAGTCCCCCTGGGGTCAGTGACCGCGATCTGCTAACTCTGAGATCGCAGTGACAGGCTGTCACTGCGATCTCAGAGCGCTCTGATCGCAGTGACAGCCTGTCACTGCGATCAGTGTTACATGTGTCAGCCTATTGGCTGACACATGTAACTGGCACAAAGATCCCCCTGCAGATTGGAAGGGGGGAGTGCTTGTACCACCCAGGCACTCCCCCCTGTGGCCAATTACCCAATCTGCAGGAGGTGATCACAGTGACAGGCAGTCACTGTGATCACTGATCCTGTATGTCAGCCAGTGATGTAAAATCACTGGCTGACACTGTCTCTGCCCCCTGTCCTGTAATAAAAATAAAATATTAGTTAAAAAAAAATTACAGTTAAATATAAAATATACTTAGATCATATATATTATATATATATGATCTAAGTATATATATATATATATATACACACACACACACACACACATTTACACATACACGAAGTGTATTTAAATATTAATATATATAATTATTTATATATATATTACTATCAAATTACACGTAGACTAATACTGATTAAATATATATATATATAATTATTGTTATATATATATATATTTATATATAATATAAAAAAATGTAAATACGTAAAAAAAATAAAATTAAAAAAATAATTAAAAATAAATAATAAAAAAATATATAGATGTTTGTTATTTCGTTCTAACTGTATTGTGATATTAATATATATATATTTATATCAAAATACACGTAGAACGAAATAATATATATATCTATATACATAAATATATACATATATATCACTAAATATATACACCTATATATAAATAAAAATATTTTAAAAAATTATATATATATATATATGTATATATACACATATGTATATATATACATATATTAATTCTACACATATATTTATGTAATATTTTTACATAATTAGGTATCCTAATTAATTACAATTAGCGGGACCTGACTGACAACCCATGCCAAAAGTATAGGGAATTTAATTTGCTAGCACTATATTTAACCCTATAACTTTCCAAGACACCATAAAACCTGTACATGGGGGGTACTGTTCTACTCGGGAGACTTCGCTGAACACAAATATTAGTGTTTCAAAACAGTAAAATGTATTACAACAATGATATCGCCAGTAAAAGTGACGTTTTTTGCATTTTTCACGCACAAACAGCATTAAACGGACAATATTATTGCTATGATACTTTTTACTGTTTTGAAACACAAATATTTGTGTTCAGTGAAGTCTCCCGAGTACAACAGTACCCCTCATGTACAGGTTTTATGGTGTTTTCAAAAGTTACAGCGTCAAATATAAGGCTTGCGTTTCATTTTTTTCACATTAAAATTCGCCAGATTGGTTACGTTGCCTTTGAGACCCTATGGTAGCCCAAGAATGAAAATTACCCCTATGATGGCATACCATTTGCAATAGTAGACAACCCAAGGTATTGCAAACAGGGTATGTCCAGTCTTTTTTAGTAGCCACTTAGTCACAAACACTGGCCAAAATTGGCGTTTTTTGCATTTTTCACACACAAACAAATACTAACGCTAACTTTGGCCAGTGTTTGTGACCAAATGGCTACTAAAAAAGACTGGACATACCCCATTTGCAATACTTTGGGTTGTCTACTATTGCAAATGGTATGCCATTATGGGTGTAAATTTCATTCCCGGGCTACTATACAGTCTCAAAGGCAACGTAACCAATCTGGCGAATTTCAATTTCAAATGTAACGTGCTATATTTGACCCTGTAACTTCCCAAAATGCCATAAAACCTGTACATAGGGGGTACTGTTTTACACGTGAGACTTTGCTGAATACAAATATGTGTATTTTATTGCAGTAAAAGCAAACAGTATTATGACACTGACCGTTAAAATGTCATGTAGAACTAAAAAAAATCAAAACAAATCTTTTCTCCCATTTTTTTCATATTAAATTATGTTTCATAGCTAAATATTTGATATTAAATGAAAGCCCTGTTTCCCTGAATAAAATGATATATAATAAGGGTGGGTGCATTTACTATGAAAGAGGTGAATTACGGTTGGACAGACATGTAGCGCAAATGCCAGGTTTTGTTTACATTTTGTTTCGTTCACAACGTGTACATTTGGCTCAGTCCTTAAGGGGTTAAGTGGTCTTGCTATGACTGTGTGTGGGAGATATTAGTAAATAATGACTGGGTGTGGGAGATTGGTTGGCTGCCCTGTCACTCAGTTCTTCCTCTAATCAGTGATTGGCCAGTATTGCTGTCAGTCTCTCTCTGTGCTGTGATTGGGTGGCTGTTTTATCACTCAGTTCTTCCTTTAATCAGTGATTGGTCAATATTGCTGTCAGTCTCTCTCTGCGCTGTGATTGGTTGGCCGCCCTGTCACTCAGTTCTTCCTTTAATCAGTGATTGGCCAGTATTGCTGTCAGTCTCTCTCTGCGCTGTGATTGGTTGGCCGCCCTGTCACTCAGTTCTTCCTTTAATCAGTGATTGGCCAGTATTGCTGTCAGTCTCTCTCTGCGCTGTGATTGGTTGGCCGCCCTGTCACTCAGTTCTTCCTTTAATCAGTGATTGGTCAGTGTTGCTGTCACTCTGCAGTGCCCGCCCCCCAGTTTGGCCGCTCCCCTCCTTCCCGTAGCCGGTGGCCCCAGCGCTCACTCCCAGGGGCCCCGAATCCCCCCCCGCCGCCCCCGTGTGGCCCCCGTGTGGCAGTGAGTGGGAGCGGCCCGTGTGGCCCCCAGAGCCCTACCTGCAGCGGGGAGTCCGGAGCCGGCGGTGGGAGCAGCCCGAACCCTCCAATCCTGACTGACCGAGTCCCCGCCCAGCCTGACTGCACCGCCCGCCTCCCTCCCTCCCCGGGGAGGGACTGGGGGGAGGGGAACCGGCCAGGGGCCACAGGGAGCTCCCCCCCCACAGCCAGCCAGGCCACAGGGAGCCTCCCCACCACAGCCAGCCAGGCCACAGGAGCTTCCCCACCACAGCCAGCCAGGCCACAGGGAGCCCCCCACAGCCAGCTGTGAGCCCCCACCACAGCCAGCAGCCAGGGCCACAGGGAGCCCCCCCCACAGCCAGGGCCACAGGGAGCTCCCCCCACAGCCAGGGCCACAGGGAGCTCCCCCCACAGCCAGGGGCCACAGGGAGCTCCCCCCACAGCCAGGGCCACAGGGAGCTCCCCCCACAGCCAGGGCCACAGGGAGCTCCCCCCACAGCCAGGGGCCACAGGGAGCTCCCCCCCCCACAGCCAGGGCCACAGGGAGCTCCCCCCACAGCCAGCCAGGGCCACAGGGGAGCTCCCAGCCAGGGCCACAGGGCTCCCACAGCCAGGGTACAGGGGCTCCCACAGCCAGCCAGGGCCACAGGAGCTCCCCCACAGCCAGGGAGGCCACAGGGAGCTCCCCCACAGCCAGGGCCACAGGGGCTTCGCCCACAGCCAGCCAGGGCCACAGGAGCTCCCCAGCCAGGGCCACAGGGCTTCGCCCACAGCCAGCCAGGCCACAGGGGAGCTTGCCCACAGCCAACCAGGGCCACAGGGGAGCTCCCACAGCCGGGCCACAGGGGAGCTCCCCACAGCCAACCAGGGGCCACGGGAGCTCCCAGGGCCACAGGCTCCCACCCCACAACCAGCCAGGGCCACCCGGGGTACCCCACAGCCAGGGCCACAGGAGCTCCCCACAGCCAGGGCCACAGGGCTCCCAGCCAGGGCCACAGGAGCTTCGCCCACAGCGGCAGCCAGGGCCACAGGGAGCTCCCCCCACAGCCAGGGCCACAGGGAGCTCCCCCCACAGCCAGGGGCCACAGGGAGCTCCCCCCACAGCCAGGGGCCACAGGGAGCTCCCCCCACAGCCAGGGGCCACAGGGAGCTCCCCCCACAGCCAGGGGCCACAGGGAGCTCCCCCCACAGCCAGGGGCCACAGGGAGCTCCCCCCACAGCCAGGGCCACAGGGAGCTCCCCCCACAGCCAGCCAGGGCCACAGGGAGCTCCCCCCACAGCCAGGGCCACAGGGAGCTACAGCCAGGGCCACTGGGAGCTCCCCCCACAGCCAGGGCCACCGGGAGCTCCCCCCACAGCCAGGGGCCACAGGGAGCCCCCACAGCCAGCCAGGGCCACAGGAGTCTCCACAGCCAGCCACAGGAGTCTCCACAGCCAGCCAGGGCCACAGGAGCCCCCACAGCCAGCCAGGGCCACAGGAGCTCCCCACAGCCAGCCAGGGCCACAGGAGGTCCCCCCACAGCCAGGGGCCACAGGGAGTGTCCCCCCACAGCCAGCCACAGGAGATCCCCCACAGCCAGGGGCCACAGGGGAGAGATCCCCCCTACTGGAAGCCAGGGGCCTAAGCAGGAGATCCCCCCCCCACAGCCAGGGCCACAGGGAGATCCCCCCACAGCCAGGGCCACAGTAGGAGATCCCCCCACAGCCAGGGGCCACAGGGAGATTCCCCCCCACAGCCAGGGGCCACAGGGAGCTCCCCCCCACAACCAGGGGCCACAGGAACCTCCCCCACAGCCAGGGGCCACAGGATCCACTCCCAGTTTGGGGCCTCATCAGGCATATAGTGAAACTGAGCCCCTTAGGGATTTATTAAAGGATCACTATAGGGTCAGGAACACAAACATGTATTCCTGACCTTATAGTGTTAAAACCATTATCTAGCCCCCCTGGGCCCCTCATGCCTCCATAAATATAGCAAAATCTTACTATATTCAAGCCTGAAGCTGTATCTCTGCACTCAGAAAAACCAACAGTCTGCTGACATGTAATAGCCTGATCCAATCACAGTGCTTCCCTATAAGATTGGCTGAGACTGACAGAGGCAGATCAGGGGCAGAGCCAGCATGAGTCAAACGCAGCTCTGGTCAATCAGCATCTCCTCATAGAGATACATTGAATCAATGAATCTCTATGAGGAATGGTCAGCGTCTGCATGCAGAGGGAGGCGATACTGAATCACAGGATGCTGTGCACAGTGCTGCCATGTGCTCTGCTGACAGCAGATCTAAATGGATGGAGGCATAGTATGCCTCCATCAACTCTGAAGTCTCTCTGGTTCATTCTGAGTGACTGCAACTGGAGGTGTTCCTAGCTTTCAATGTAAACACTATTTTCTTCCTATATTAACCCATGGCAATAGATGTGCAGATGATTGCTACTAAAAACTTGCAGAATAATTGTAATTGGTTAACTCAAGACAAGGTGCTGCAGCAACTAAAGAAAGTTAATATAAACAACTCTCCAGGGCCTGACTGTATCCATTCACGTGTACTTAAGGAACTAAGTGTAGAAATAAGTGAACCTCTGTTTTTAATCTTTCAAGATTTGTTTCTTTCAGGAAGTGTTCCGGAGGATTGGATGAAGGTAGATGTGGTTTCTATATTCAAAAAGGCTTCAAAATCATTGCCTGGAAATTATAGACCTGTGAGCTTAACTTCTGTGAATGGTAAAATATTTGAAAGGTTATTAAGGGATAATATTCATGGTTTTATGAAGCACAGGTCATGTCAAACTAACTTGATTGCATTCTATGAAGAGGTAAGTAGAAGTATAGATCAGGGTGTTGCAGTGGATGTGATCTTTTTGGATTTTGCCAAGGCATTTGATACAGTTCCACACAATAGATTAGTGTTCAAACTCAAGGAAATCGGTCTAGATGAAAATGCTTGTTTTTGGGTAGAACATTGGCTTAAAAATAGAGTACAAAGAGTTGTCATTAATGGTAAATTTTCAAGCTGGTGTCCCTCAGGGGTCTGTTCTGGGACCCCTTATATTTAACATGTTTATAAATTATCTTGAAAACCGCATTGAAAGTCATGTTTCAGTGTTTGCAGATGACACAAAACTTTGTAAAATAATACAATGTGAGCAAGATATTACTTTGCTGCAGAGGGATTTAGATGGACTGGGGGACTGGGCACTCAAATGGCAGATGAAATTTAATGTTGAAAAATTCAAAGTTACGCACTTCGGCGTAAAGAATACACATGCAACGTATACCCTTAATGGAAGCGAATTAGGGATAACAACACACGAAAAGGATTTGGGAATTGCTATAGACAACAAACTATGCAACAATGTGCAATGTCAATCAGCAGTGGCCAAGGCCAGTAAGGGTCATGCATGAAAAAGGGCATTCATTCTCGGGACAAGAATATAATTTTTCCTCTTTATAAATCACTGGTAAGACCCCATATTGAATATGCTGTGCAATTTTGGGCACCTGTTCTAAAGAAGGATATTATTGCACTAGAAAAAGTGCAGAGGCGGGCTACAAAATTAATAAAAGGAATGGAACATATCGGCTATGAAGAAAGGTTAACAAATTTAAACCTATTTAGTTTAGAAAAACGTCACCTGAGAGGGGATATGATAACATTATACAAATATATTTGGGGCCAGTACAAACCATTGTGTGGAAATCTATTCACAAACTGGACTTTACATAGGACATGAGGCCATGAGTTTAGACTGGAAGAAAGAAGATTTCGTCTAAGGCAAAGGAAAGGTTTTTTTACTGTAAGAACAATCAGGATGTGGAATTCTCTGCCTGAGGAAGTGGTTTTATCAGAGTCCATACAGATGTTCAAACAGCTACTAGATGCATACTTGCAAAACAGAATATTCAAGGATATAATCTTTCAATGTAGGGTAATAACTGCTTGATCCAAGGATAAATCTGACTGCCATTCTGGGGTCAAGAAGGAATTTTTTTCTTAGCTTGTTGCGAAATTATGCTTCAAACTGGTTTTTTTTGCCTTCTTTTGGATCAACAGCAAAAAACAAATGTGAGGAAGGCTGAACTTGATGGACGCAAGTCTCTTTTCAGCTATGTAACTATGCAACATGAGAGAGGCTGCAGGGAGCTATAGTTCTCACCTGAACAACCTCATTAAGCTGAAGTTGTTCAGGTGATTATAGTGTCCCTTAAGACCGGAGAGTGTACTATTACGCCCTATTTTAAGCGGCTCTAAACGCCGCCGGGCGTAATAGTATGCCCTCCGGTTTTATTTTTACTTGGTCGCCGACGATCGTGGTTGGGGGAAGTCCCAGGGAGCCCCCCACGGCACATCCAACCTCCTGCAGCCCCCCCCGGCCATGTGAGAGTGAGGTCCTTGCGAGGACCTCACAATCACATGGCCGGGTTAGCTGGCTGCTGCATTGCCAGCGGGGGGACTGCCTGTAATGACAGGTAGTCCACCTGCTGGCTGAATTCAAATAAAATTAAATCAGTGTAAAAAAATAATTATATACTTAGATCATGTAGACTGATACTGATTATATATATATATATATATATATATATATATATATATATTTATATAAAAAAATAAATATGTAAATACGTTAAATAGATGTTATTTCGTTCTAACTGTATTGTGATATTAAAATATATATATCTCAAAATACACGTAGAACAAAATAATATATATCTACATAGGCGTGCGCAGCCTAAAGCAGAAACACACGCCGCGTATATTTATATAATATATACATACACACACACACACATATTGCTGTGTGTGAGGGTGGTGTGTGTAGGTGCTGTTAGTGTGTGCTTTGTGAGGGTGCTGTTAGTGTGTGCTGTGAGGGTGATGTTAGTGTGTGTAAGGGTGCTGTGTGTGCATGTGTAAAGGTGCTGTTGGTGTGTGCTGTGTATGTGTGAGGGTGTTGTTAGTGTGAGGGTGCTGTTTGTGTGTAATGTGTGGGGGCCATTTAGTTAATATCCCCCCTCCCTTCTTACCTTTTGTAGGGCGGGGGGACCGTGCTGCTGCCATCCCTGGTGGTCCAGTGGAGAATGAACTCTAGCCCCACAGGGGGCTAGAGTTCACTCTCGCGAGTTCTGAGCGTTGCCACGGTTACCGTGGCAAAGCTCCGACCTCGCGAAAGGAACCCGGCGGAGCTGCTGGCAAGAGCTCCCCGTGTCCTCTCCTGCCTCCCTACCTGCCTGTGGGCTGATGAGGGAGCTCTTTGATCTCCCTCACCTGCCCACGGAGGGAGGCACATAGCGCGTGCCGGGGGGATTAGGGTGTGCCTATACGTATATCACTGTATATATATATTCTACATATATATATTTATGTAATATTTTTACATAATTAGGTATCTTAATTACAATTAGCGGGACCTGCCTGACAACCCATGCTGAAAGTAAAGGAAATTTAATTTGCTAGCACTATATTTAACCCTATAACTTTCCAAGACACCATAAAACCTGTACATGGGGGGTACTTTTCTACTCGGGAGACTTTGCTGAACACAAATATTAGTGTTCGAAAACAGTGAAATGTATTACAACGATGATATCGCCAGTAAAAGTGAAGTTTTTTGCATTTTTCACGCACAAACAGCACTTACATGGACGATATTATTGCTGCAATACTTTTTACTGTTTTGAAACAAATATTTGTGTTCAGCGAAGTCTGAGTACAACAGTACCCCTCATGTACAGGTTTTATGGTGTTTTGAAAAGTTACAGCGTCAAATATAAGGCTTGCGTTTCATTTTTTTCACATTTAAAATTTGCCAGATTGGTTACCTTGCCTTTGAGACCCTATGGTAGCCCAAGAATGAAAATTACCCCTATGATGGCATACCATTTGCAATAGTAGACAACCCAAGGTATTGCAAACGGGGTATGTCCATTCTATTTTAGTAGCCACTTAGTCACAAACACTGGCCAAAATTGTCGTTTTTTGCATTTTTCACACACAAACAAATACGAACGCTAACTTTGGCCAGTATTTGTGACCAAATGGCTACTAAAAAAGACTGGACATACCCCATTTGCAATACCTTGGGTTGTCTACTATTGCAAATGGTATGCCATTATGGGTGTAAATTTAATTCCTGGGCTACTATAAAGTCCCAAAGGCAACGTAACCAATCTGGCGAATTTCAATTTCAAATGTAACGTGCTATATTTGACCCTGTAACTTCCCAAAACGCCATAAAACCTGTACATAGGGGGTACTGTTTTACACGTGAGACTTTGCTGAATACAAATGTGTATTTTATTGCAGTAAAAGCAAACAGTATTATGACATTGACAGTTAAAATGTCATGTAGAACTAAAAAAATAAGAAAATATTTTCTCCCATTTTATTCATATTAAATGTTTCATAGCTAAATATTTGATATAACATGAAAGCCCTGTTTCCCATGAATAAAATGATATACAATAAGGGTGGGTGCATTTAATATGAAAGAGGTGAATTACGGTTGGACAGACATGTAGCGCAAATGCGAAGTTTTGTTTACATTTTGTTTTGTTCACAACGTGTACATTTGGCTCAGTCCTTAAGGGGTTAAATTAAACTGTAAACTTTGGGGATTGAAAACGGAGTGCATGATATATAGAGTAATACAGACCCAGGTACGGAGGCAGGGCACAGACCAGGTATACAGACCCAGGTACGGAGGCAGGGCACAGACTGCGTCTACAGACCCAGGTAGGGAGGCAGGGCACAGACTGGGTATACAGACCCAGGTACGGAGGCAGGGCACAAATGGTGTATACAGACCCAGATACGGAGGCAGGGCACAGACTGGGTATACAGACCCACGTACGGAGGCAGGGCGCAGACAGGGTATACAGACCCAGGTACGGAGGCAGGGCACAGACTGCGTCTACAGACCCAGGTACGGAGGCAGGGTACGGAGACAGGGCACAGACTACGTATACAGACCCAGGTACGGAGGCAGGGCACAGACGTCGTATACAGACCCAGGTACGGAGGCAGGGCACAGACGACTTATACAGACCCAGGTACGGAGGCAGGGCACAGACGACTTATACAGACCCAGGTACGGTGTCAGGGCACAGACTGTGTATACAGACCCAGGTACGGAGTCAGGGCACAGACTGTGTATACAGACCCAGGTTTGGAGTCGGCACAGATGTCATTGTAACTGGTAGACACAGCTGTGCTTGTTCTGTACATATAAGCCACAGTATGTTTACCCACAGTCACAGCTGCATCGACGCACCGAATGGCTCCTATTCTTTACACTCAGCGATTAAATCACAGCTACCCCCTACCCAGTGCTTTGCGGTGTCGCTGGAATTCAAAGATGTCTGTGAACACCTGTTTTATACACCCTCACACAAATTGTGTGTCACACGTGTAAATCATACACACAGGTGCAGATCACACTAACTACACACTATACAGTGTTTCCACATGGCCCCAATGTTACGTAGCTGAGCATCCTGCTCTTTCCATGTGGGATTACGCTCTCCCCAGCGCTGGAAAAAGGTAAGTTTTAACCCCTTTCCCCCTTCCAGAGCCAGGCGGGAGTGGGACCCTGAGGGTGGGGACACCCTCAGGGCACTATAGTGCCAGGAAAACGAGTAAGTTTTCCTGGCACTATAGTGGTCCTTTAAAGGATCTTAACATATATAGCTTGGAGGAAAGAGGAGACAGGGGATGTGATAGAAACATTTAAATACATAAAGGTAATCAACACAGTAAAGGAGGAGACTATATTTAAAAGAAGAAAAACTACCACAACAAGAGAACATAGTCTTAAAAGAGAAGGACAAAGGTTTAAAAATAATATCAGGAAGTATTACTTTACTGAGAGGGTAGTGGATGCATGGAATAGCCTTCCAGCTGAAGTGGTAGAGGTTAACACTGTAAAGGAGTTTAAGTATGCGTGGGATAGGAATAAGGCTATCCTAACTATAAGATAAGGCCAGGGACTAATGAAAGTATTTAGAAAATTTGGCAGACTAGATGGGCCAAATGGTTCTTATATGCCGTCAGTGTGACGGTTACCCCTATAGAGTGGGGGTATCTACCGGTAGAGCTCCAACTCCATGGCAGATCTCCAACACAAGGTTACCACCCACGTGGACCTTTTTGGGCACCGAAAACACAAACTTAACAACCAATCATTTACAGACACACAGTAAAACACTCCCATTCATTACAGTAAATTCTTAGAATGTGACGGCAGATAAGAACCATTCGGCACATCTAGTCTGCCCAAAACCTCCCCTCTGCTTGGGAGATAATTTAGATAATTACTGTATCAACTCAATTATCTCCAAGCTAAAAAACATACTTTTTACACAATTTTTATAACTTTCAAATTATGCATTCAATCCTAATAAAAGTTATATTTTCAGAACTAGCATACTTCGGGGTCAAACATATCCAAAATTCGTAAGAATTGGTCCAGTGGTTCGGGAGATAGCTGGAAGTCATATTTGTCCGACCGACTGCACGCATGCACATTTTTATGCCCAAAACAGGTCTATTCCCCATAGTTAAAATACTGTTAAAAAGCACTAACGGGTGCTGTTTGTGCAAATAGTAATGTTAATATGGCATTCTTATTGCCGAACGCCGTTTGACTCCATTCGAAGTGTTGAAGCTCCAAAGAAGGTAGAAGTTCAGCGCCGTCGCATATCCGATTTTAGTTGCGTGAGTTTGATGACCAAACACCGCTGAACGCGTTAGAATGAATTAAAACATGGCTGTATCCGAAGTGCCAGTTTTAAAAGTACAGATTCTTTCCCAACAGAGTTAAAGGGCCAGACATAGTGTTTTAACATTCAAGTTGCAGAAATTGAGTTTTTAACAGGTAATGCACTCCAGGGGCCATAGTCCCAAGGTAACCAGAGTCTTGGAGCGAGTTCTCGGTTTAAATACAATGCTAGTACCGGTATCCACAGCATAACCACTGTGAGAAGGAACAAAACCACCATAACTACTACAAACAATGAGGGGTTTTGTTACAGTCACATTCTATGCTTCTGTTCTTTCAGTTTGTCTACTTTGGCCTTACAGTGGCTGTGTCACCTTGTGGGGTATTGGAGCTTCTTACCTGAACTGGTCCCTTGTGGCCAATGACATGGTCTTCCTAGCAATTCATCTACCAGGAGCCGAGGTGGCTGATGTCTAGGGAGACGGCCAAGGGATCCACCATCGATAGAGCCTTTTCCCTTTCAGCCGGAGCTTGATAGCAGTGACTTAACCTCTTTGCCAGGCGTCGGAAGAATGTATAAGACAATGCAATTTCTACCTCTTATCTTTTGACTGTGTTGAAATTTCAGTACAATACCAACAATTCCAAAGATTTTACCTTTTTGAAATGCTATTTTATTATTTTGTTTTTAGGAGGAAAGGGATGATAGAGACCCTTAAATTCACTCCTACATCCATACATACTCAACATGTATACTAACATGTAACACTCAGTGTGGCGGTCTGTTAAAGTATCACCACCACGGATGCCCTTTCCCCATAATAACACACAAGGTATATCGCCGGTATCACATGATCCCCCAAACATGAGCCAAGGCGTAATGCTGGGAGAAGACTGTTTATTGGCAGTACAGACAGTTAATAAACTCCTCCTCTGTGCCTGTGAGATAATGGAGTCAGAAACTGTACTAAACTCAACTATCTCCAGGCACAGAAAAACAAACAATTTTGCAACACCCCAAAAGTACCCACAAAAATCACATCCCTGGATAACCTGGATCTGGGTGAACAATATATTCAAAAATCACCCAGATCCGTTCGGTAGTTTTGTGTCACCATCGAAGTTCTGACCAGTCTGCCACGAGGTAGAAGCCCAAAATAGTTCCATGGAAATTGTGGCAAGAGCTGTTCTCTGTTCGTGGGGTTTTGTACGAAAACCACATAAGGTATAGGAAAGCTGGTTTGTGTAGAATGCTACCTGTGTTTGGTAGTCTGCAACTCCTGAACGCCGTTAGTCTAGGTGAAGCGGGAGTGCCTAGCCGAAATGAGTTCCAGGCACATGACAACCAAGTCCTGCTGCCAGCGTTCGGGAGACAAGATGGCCGCCATCCATTGTCCCAACCACATGCGTTCGAATGTACGAAATGTCGGCCACCCAGTGGAGCATTCTATTAATTGTTTTCTTTGCGGTTTTCGTACAAGATACATAACATTCCACGTTCTAATGGGTCTCTGGGGTGCTCTCGGTTCGGGAACCGAACAAAATAAACGAAAAAAAACTGGGACATGAATCAGATGAACAGAAAGAGCTGACCGTGATGGGGTATTCCTTCACACTCTGTATATACACTGTAATTGAGCTACTTATACCCCGGCTGGTTACCTCTGCCAAGGACCGTTTCCTGGGAGTTCTAGTGCTTACAAGGACTTTCCCTACTGAATTCTCCACGGTGGAACAGTGATTAACCATTTCCCTTCTCAGTAACCAGACGATACATAGTTCTGGGAGTACAAGCTGGAATACGTTTATTGGCAGCTACAACTGGCCTTATATGCAGGTCCCCATGCAAGGGGCACTCCCCCCTGGACCTGAGAGTAGACTACAGTAAAAGCATACACACGATTACATTAGCTCTCAGGTCCAGGACACTCCAATACAAAACAAGATAGTCCCTCCACTGTGCCTGAGACATAATTGAGCAAGCACTGTATTAAACTCAATTATCTCCAGGTACAAAAAACAACACACATTTCCCAAACACCCAAAAAGTACCTTAAAAATACATAAAACACCCTAAATGTTACATCCCTGATAGCCCTGATCTGGGTAACCAACATATCCAAAAATCACCAAGATTGGTTCAGGAATTTCCTGGAAGTCATAAATTTACCAACCGCACGCATGGTCCCATGCCCAAAACAGTTCCATAGAATCGCGGCTAATTGCTGCTGGGAACCGACCAGGAACTGCGATGTCTTCGTGACGAAAATAGTTTCAGGGCATTCGCGGCTAAGTCCCCCTGAAGTCTATTCATGGTTTTGGTCCATGCGAACGACCGCCAGGGAGCTTGCGTTCAGTTCTATGCGCATGGATGGAAAGTGCCGAACCACGGGGTATAAAATATGGGTCTTTACAGTCGCTGACCAGGCCCATAGTTGGTGGGCAGGAGGCCAGCTTCCACACTCCTCCAGGAGTCCATGGCAAACATCTGTGGAAACCTGCATTTGTCACATACACCCCAACATGTAAAACTCAGTATACACATCCTAACATGTAACACTCGGTATAAACACACGAACACAACTAACTACACTTTTATTCCCTTTGGTTTGGCTGTCCGTACACCAAAATGTGTGGTCCCATGTTAACACCTCACAATCACTTACCACCCCTGGCTGTTAACTGCAAATTAATCAAGCGGTACATGGTCGTCGACTTCCTTGAACTATTTTCGGATACGTGACCCCGTGAACACTTGGGAAACTAATACTGCTGCCCATCCAACTTACCGAACAGTTATGAGAATGGCGTTTGGGAGGCATGAACTACCGAACAGGGGGAGCATTTGCTCTCTAACAGCCAGGGGGAGCATTCATCAGTGTTAGTGTGAGAACCCCTAAAAGATGACTGGTCGTTGCCTTATTTATTCTGGAACAGTATTGGGGCATCGCCTCGTGGCCGATCGGTCAAAACTTCATTCGAATGGCATTTCCGAACCACCAGAGGGATCTGAACGCTATTTTTAAAAAGTGGCGCTGAGACCCAAGCTATTCGGCGATATGGATTTCGGGGGGTTCCTATATTATTAAAGTGCATTTTTTTTCAATTGTTAATTGTAATATTGTGTATGATTTCCTGAATCTGAATCTGGGCAGCAGCAATGACTACATTACACATAAGCATATAGTAAAAACCAAAGGAAAAAAGTTACCTGTGCTCTCTCCTTAATCCCTGTGTATTTGTCTAAATATATATAGGGATTAAGGAGAGAGTGCAGGTAACTGTTTTTCTTTGGTTTTTACAGGATGAGAACTGGGCCTAAATACCCCTCCTCTAGATCTGATAGGCTGTAAATCGGCCTTTGACCCCAAAGTCAGTTACCAGGTTCCCATTTGCATAATTGCTGCTCAGCATTAACCCTTCTGTGGATTTGGTTGCTGCTCGGCACAAATTTTCCTGTCTGAACAGTAAATTCCATTAATCACATTTTTATAAGCGGATGAATACGTGACATCTTGTAACCGAACAACACGTGCTGGAGAAACCGGCTGCCATCTTGTTGCACGAAAAGAGACAGCGGGACCTGGTCGTCGAGTGTCTGGAACTCCCAAGTTGCCGAAGGTTGCCTACCTCTGAGCTAGGGGAACCGTTTGTGGTTTTGTTCAGTTTGGGACTCCCAAAACCTGGGCACTCAGATCCAGGCTATCCGGGAATATGACATTTATGGGAGTCCCTATAATATTTATGTGTATTATGTACGTTTCATATTTTGCTCAGTATAGTAACATATAAGGTACAAACACAACAGGAAAAAATGGTGGTTTGGCGCTTCACACCACAGAACAAGCAACAACCCCCAGTGCCCAAAATCACTGAAATGGCACTCAAATACAAAGTGAAAGAAAAGAGTACCGGGGGGTGCAAAGAACATATACAATACTTCGCTGTATACTTAATGTAATGAGTGGAACACCTCCTGATCTTCCTACAATAAAAACAGTAAGAATATATACATAGTGTAATACTGTCACTCACAATTCACAGAGCCACATAAAGCTGGCTCTGACTTCAATGGTAGGTGAATAATAAGCTTATTCCAGCTTTCAAATTCTTAGACAGGATAACTCCTTTTCTGTCCTTCAATAATTTCCAGGATATCCAATATGTTAGAAATATATAAACTTTACTGGATATAAAATAACATAACAAACAGAAATAAATGTAAAATATCCTGGAAATATTAGTTATATTAGTTCCCCTCCATTGGGGCTTTATTGATTAAGAACCATTAATCATAAATAATCCAGAAGTCCTGTTGTACTGGTAGCAATACTGCAGGGGGCAGTGTCACTCCATTCTTTTAGGCAGAGAAGAGCTTGATTTGTATTCCTCTTTATTTCCTAATTCTCTCTCCCCTCTACCTGAGCCTCGTACATTACCACTCCTTACAAAGCAGGTAAAAGATAGACCCCCAGCTGTTTAAGAACTTCAAGTTCCATGATGTTCCATCAAGCTTGTTAGCCTTAAAGGAACACTCTGGACACCATAACAACTTAATCTCAGTACAGCATTATGGAGCCTGGAGGTCCTGGGAGCAATATTATCTTAAAGAGTTAAACCATTTACCAACAACCACAATGTGTTTCCGACCGTGCCTGACCTCCTGGCCCCTCTGTCTCCTCCTCTGTCCCAGCTTCAATATCGAAGCCATTCATTGGCGTTTGTGATGATCTGAGAGCAGAAGTGTACATAGTGGCGCCCAGTGAAAGGCTTCCGCAGTCTAGCCAGGGCTAGAAACTATTGAAACTAAGATAACTTAATTATCAATCAGTTACAGGAACTAATACAAAATATCATAAAGCACCCCACAAAAATACACCATAACAACACAGGAACCCCACAAAGGTCATATCACCGAATAGCTTGAGTTTGAGCGCCCACTTTGTCAAATAGCGCTCATATCCTTCTGATGGTTTGGAATTGCCATTTGAATGAAGTTTTGACCAGTCAGCCATGAGGTGATTTCCCAAAATAATTCCACAGAAAACAAGGCAACAACTGGTCATCTTTCGGGGGTTCCCATATGAATACCGACAAATGATCCCCCTGTTCAGTAGTTCATGTTTCCCGAACACCATTATCATAACTGTTCGGGAAGTTGGACAGGCAGCACTACAAGTTTCCTGTGTGTTTGCGGGGTTGCATATCCGACATACAGTTCTATGTACTCGACGACCATGTACCGCTAAATGCGTTCGGGAGACAAAATGGCCGCCAATTCTTGGAGCATGTGTGTTTGGTTATACGAACGGCGGCCACACAGGGAAAGCACTTTAACTAATTGCTCATTTGTTAACAGCCAGGGGTGGTTGGTGATCATGAAGTGTGAACAAGGGGACCACACAGAGTTGATTCGGTAAATGAATGGAGGGTGTACGGACAGCCGAACAAAATGAATAAAAGCTTTATTCCATGAATACATTCTGCTACATATCTAGAGCTAGTTGAGGAAGTAATGAGTACCTGGGGGGAGTAGATGACCTAATGAGTACCTGGGGGTGGGTCAAGGTAATTTTCTTCTTTTGGCTTCTGATGTAGCGGATTTGAGATCAGGGTTGAAGGAATTTGTGGAGAATACCTTCTCCTGGGTACCAGTCTCTTTACAGGAGGATTGAATGTCGTGCATCTGGGAGAAGTGGTTATTGTATTTTAAGCAACAAGCAGTATGGAGCTACAGGTGGAGGCACGCTCTTTAATGTGTACAACTTTAGAGAATGGTCTTAATGTCTGTGGGCATAGCCTTCACTTTGCAGAGAAAAAATGTAGTTATCCTGGAACTGCAGATTTAAAACCCGTGCCAATTACAGGTGAACGCGGAGCAGGTCCTCTTCTCCATGATACAGCTTGGTAGATGCTCAGCATGGAGGCCCTGTTTGTGGTATCAGCTCACACGGGTCGCAGCTCCAGTTGCATTATTGCCGTCTCTCAATGTGGTTCGTTGCCTGGCTACTGTGGTTGGTGCTTGTGTTGAAATATGTGTTTTTGAGAAGTAGGCTGATAATCTAGATATCTTAGTGCACTTTCAGCATTCCGTCTACACCACAAAGCATATTCTGGGGTTTCACTTCCTAAATAGCCCATCTATTGGCCATTGTGCTGCTTTACCCGATTCCGCTGCTAGTGGAGAACAGACCAATGTGGTAGAGTTTGTTCTAGGCAGGGTTTGGGGATTACTGTTTATTGAGAATACCTGTCTGACTGGGACATTCCTGGCATAGGCCCCCAAGGCAGGATTTCATGGATAGTGGCCCCCTCACTGAACGGAAATTACTATTTTGTACACTTTGTCAGGGAACAGGTCTGTCTAACCCTGTCAGAACCAGCATTAGTGTTCCCTAGCAGCACTTGTTCTGTTATTAAAGCAGTGTCTCACTGGATCCCAGTAATATAACGTGTGCACACGGCTCGGCTGACTGAGAGTACCATTACGGCACACGTCATTTCTGTATGTGCCCAGGTTGCCATATACAGCTTTTACTTTGCTGGGAGCTCTGTTGCATTTGTTCATATTGTGCGTAGTTCTCCCTGTCCTGTTAGAAGTACTAATACAGCATTAGTAAGCGATTACCCCACCAGCGATGCTATTAATGTGTTACATTAATTAGGAATATCATGTGAAAGTGTCCCCTGTGTGACTGTGTGTTCTACGACAGCTGTGTACCTACCGTATATTTAGAAGGTGGGATTTGTGATCTGGCTGCTGAAATTATTGACATTCTCGAAGTGCTAAATAGCTCATGGGAAGTTACAACATTGTTGGTTTCATTTCAGTCCTGTATACTTTATTGTGCCGGTCACTGCGATTATACATGTCCGCAAACCTCTAACCAGACAAGTAACGTCACACATGCTCACACAAGATAACACAGACACACATGCAGGAGATAGATTACACACAGTACTCAACACACCCAGCTGTATACTTCACACTGTGCTAAATATTACTCGCACACACACAACCCCGAGTATTACACACTGTGCTAAATATTACACACACACACACACCACCGAGTATTACACACTGTGCAAAATATTACACACACACACCACCAAGTACTACACACTGTGCTAAATATTACACACACACACACCACCAAGTACTACACACTGTGCTAAATATTACACACACACACACACCAAGTACTACACACTGTGCTAAATATTACACACACACACACCCCGAGTATTACACACTGTGCTAAATATTACACACACACACACACCAAGTACTACACACTGTGCTAAATATTACACACACACACACACCAAGTACTACACACTGTGCTAAATATTACACACACACACACACACCCCGAGTATTACACACTGTGCTAAATATTACACCCCCCCCCCACCCCCCGAGTATTACACACTGTGATGAAATGTGTCCACTCGCTTGCCTGCCCATCGTTTTCAGGTCCTCATGCTGGAGATCTCCCCATCTACTCCTACAGGAACTATAGTCTGTGTCAGGAGGAGATCCAGGAGCCTCATGCCTGCAGCCGGACTGTCTGTGGCTGAACTACTAATTTGGAAGATTGTGCTTGTCCCATTGTGGATATGATATTGAAACACAAGGGTTTACCTTGACTTCCAGGTGACTTGTGTGTGACGTCTCACACCTGGCAGAGTGGCTCTGTTGGGGTCCCAGTTTACAAGAGGAACTTGGGCTGTAAGCTTTGACCTTCCATGCAATCATCAATTAACCCCTTTTGGAATATTAAAATGTGTTTGTGGGGTGGTTGGAACTATTATAGATTTTCTGTACCTGAGGGATAATTAAATTAAAGAGGTTTCCTCATGCAATTATCTCTCAGGCACAGAGGATCTTTGGATTGAAACCCCTGTTATATTGCGTTGGAGACCCCTTGTAGGGGTTTGTGCATAAAAACCATGTGTAGATTCAAAGCGACCAGGATGGGAGTGCGGAGAGATGTCATCACCCCCGGCGACGGCCAGACCTTTCCAAAGAAGGGGCAGCTGACGTCTGTGCATTACACAGGGACCCTTGAAGATGGAAAGAAATTTGATTCTTCCAGGGACAGAGGGAAACCATTCACGTTCCGAATGGGGCGGCATGAGGTTATCAAAGGCTGGGAAGAGGGAATCTCACAGATGAGCTTGGGGGAGCGGTCACTTCTCACCATCTCCTCTGACTACGCCTATGGAAGCAAAGGACATCCTGGCATTATCCCTCCACACGCTACCCTAAAATTCGATGTAGAATTATTGTGTTTGGAGTGAGGGCATTGTGCCCCCCATCATGGGTGCGGAGAGGGGTCTGCTCACAAGGTCGCATGGTCACTGAATATGGACACCAGGGCCAAGAATGGACACATCCCGACCTCCCTTTTTTCACTCTACTTCCCACTCAGACGTTTTGCTTGACAGTTTTTGACCCCTCCCTGCTTCTCATCCTCCTGGCCAGCAGGGTAACTTTGGGCACTCTCACAGCGGATGACTTGAGGCAGGAGGTGGTTGTGATCATACCAGTGATGCCACCGGATGTCTCGACTCTGTGCAGAAGGCAAACTCGCACTGTTCCTTATTCACCTGGTGTGAGAATTCTCCATCTGTATACATGCCCTTGGCAGGGGTTGAGATAGCACTACGAGGGTTTGACTCTTTTATGGCTGTACACTGCAGAGATTTGTTTAACCTGTAGGGTTTTAAGCCAATTTGTCCTTCAGTGGTGCAGCTCCTCCCCTTCCTGCCTGCACAGCGTGATCCCTTTCCACCTCCGCACTCTTAAATAAACCGCTTTTCTCTAAAAAAAAAAAAAAAAAAACCATGTGTAACCTAATAACGCGCAGTTGTACTCCCAGAGCTACGTGCCGTCTAGTTACTGGGTAGACATGTGCAATTCGTTTCGGTCCGAATATGAATTCGGCCGAATTTCGGGCAATTCGGACATTCGGGTACTTCCAATTGTCCGAATTGCCGAAGTGCCAAGATCCCAAAGTTCAGAAATTACCGAATTTCCGAAGTGCCGAAGTGTCAAAGTGTCAAAGTGCGGAAGCATAGTATTGCCTAAGTACTAGCCCAGTGAAAGAAGAAGAATGTTACACTGTATGCAAGTTTAAATAAAAAGTATACAAACATAGCCAGGATTCAGCTGTAAGCATTTGCAACACTTACAACAATCAAGTAACATACATTCATATAAAATGTAAGTTACTTAGCCTGTCAATGGAATGACAGGAATGAATAAGTAGATAACTCCCTAATTCCCACGGTATTAGGGAGCTATCTACTAAAAGGTCTTTCAGCCAAATTTACTAATACTAAGTAAAGATTACTTAGTATTAGTAAATTATGCCCCTACTCGCTATACCGCGAGTAGGGGCATGTCTATTAAACAGTGAGCAGTCTGTGGCTGCTCAGTGTTAAAAAAAATAAAAATTGCCCCCCCCCCGAGCGGCGGGTGGGGGCCCTAATGTAAAATAATGGGGGGACCCTGAGCGGCTGGTGGGGGCCCTAAATCAGAATAAGGGGGGGACACCTAATGTCCTCCTCCCTGGCCTCCACCCCTGAGCGGTGGGTGTGGGCCCTAAATACCAATAGGGTGGGACCTATTGTCCTCCCCCCCGTCCCCCACCCCTGAGCGGCGGGTGGAGGCCTGAAACATTTTTTAACCCGCCCCCTCCAGGTGACTAGGGGTCCTCAAACCCCTAGTCACTCCCTCCCCCCCAAAAAAAATTAACCCCCTACCTTCCCCCTCACCCTAAAAATAATGAGGGGGAACCTAAACTAAGTACAGGAAAAAAAATAATAAAACTTACCATTCGATGTTTTCTTTCTTCTAAAATCTTTTTTCAGTCCCAAAAAAGGCCAAATAAAAAACCATAATAACCGACGCACTAAAAAAAAAAAAAATAACGAGCGCAAAAAAATTATAATCAATCTTAACCGGCTGCAATAGAAGTCCTGAAGTGCCGAAGTCCCGAAATGCCGAAGTTCCGAAATTCCGAAGTGTCGAAGTTCTGAATTACCGAAGTTGCCGAAGTGCCGAATTGCGAAAATCCAGAATTTCGGAATGCCAAACCGAACTGAAAATTTTCCCCATGCACATGCCTATTACTGGGAGGGGGAAAGGGTTATAATCACTGCTTAGCACTTTGTTCCAGCACGTGGAGGATTCAGCGGGGAAAGTCCTTGTAAGGACTAAAGCTCCCAGGACCGTGTGCCGTCCAGTCCCTGGGAGGAAATAGAGCTAGTCCCCTCTCCTGTTCCAGCTAGGAAGTGGTCCCTGGCGGAAGTACTCAGCCAGGGTACAGGAAGCTCCGCTACATACACTGTGTTAAATATTACACACACAACACTGAGTATTACACACTGTGCTACATATTACACACACCCCGAGTATTACAAACACCCCAAGCATTACACACTGTGCTGAATAGTACACATACACACAACCCCGAGTATTACACACACACACACACACACACGTCTCCATGTCATTGAAGTGTTGAAATATTTACATAAAAACAATGTGTATGCAAAAATGGAAAAGTGTATATTTGAAACAGCGTGCGTAGAATTTTTGGGCTTCATAATTAAACCGGGCGAAGTAGAGATGGATCGCCAAAAAGTGACCACCATCCTCACATAGCCTAAATCCCAAAACAAGAAACAGATCCAACAATTTGTGGGATTTGCTAATTTATTTTGGAAATTCATCCGTAACTTTTCCAAAGTAATCCAACCCCTCACTCATCTTACTAAGAAAGAAACAAAATGGAACTGGACCTTAAAAGAACAGAAAGCATTCAACGATCTAAGAGTCCTTGCAAAATGAAAAAGAAAGGGGGTGTACCAGCGCTAAATATTCCCCAACCAGTGAACTGTGTTCCAAATAACTAAAGAAGCTGCTATCACACCAGGTTCTTATCTTACAAGAATAGGAACCCAAAAACTCTTGTGGTGTAGCGCTATATTTAAATAGAAGGGTAGTGATAAAAAGCTTGATATATATCAATACTACCTTGAATATTCCTTATGTCTTTATATTCACATAAGAGTATAAATTCTACAAGACATAAAAAACAGACAAACCAAACATAGTGCAAACTGTATAATAGAGTCCGTTATAGAGAATTAGGAAGGGAAAATTTCCCACTCACAATTTTAGGAGCTAATATGAAATAGCTCAATATCTGCGCTCTTGGGGTCCGTAAAGGCGACCCTCACCCTTCTTGTGTATAGATGTCCTTGATTTCCTATAGAAGTAGAAACCGTATATGGTGCAGTATCGTAATAATTTTCAATGTGAGATAAATATAAAATGTAATACTCACAAAATTAGAGCCATCCAGATCGGCTCTAATCCACACACTTGTGTAGTTAAGGACTACACACCTTCTTTGTAAAAAATAAATAAAAAGTAGCAGGGAAATGCCAATGTATAATATAAAAGATTAATAATTTTATTGTAACGGTAATTGTATAAAAATATATATATATATATATAAAAAACAATAAAAAACAATATCAAATTGGCATAAAATCCAAAAGTCCAAAGTCTCACAGTCTCTCCAGTACGCGTTTCGCCTTACAGGCTTCCTCAGCTGGATGTGGTGATTCAAACTTCCCATGGATCCTCCCTGCTATATGTACCCCTCTCAGGGGTGAGATAATTAGTGTCCAGGCTTGTATTTTCGTGGGCAATCACCATAGAGATGGTGACGCCCTGCGTTTCAAGCCTTTTTTCTGTTTATTTCCGGGTTTTCTGTTCCGTCGCGTCATTTCCGGTTTCGCCGATACGTCACTTCCTTGCGTTCCACCATGCGGTTCACTATGCGTTCCACCATGCGGTTCACCATTTATTTCCCCAGGATTTCCGGGTCGGCGGTTTTTGAGGGGAAATATAAGTTTAAATGAGTTTAACATATATGTGGAATTGGCAAGCTTTCTTTATCCAACATATACAAGCCTTATATTAGTACATCCAAACCCTTCTATTCCTATTTCTTATACAAGTGTGTTAATACAAGATGACCATTTTACAGGCATATTGTGATCTTATGTCATTGTTAAAAAGATGAATTCTTAAGAGATAATAGATATTAATAAATGAATCAGTTGTTATACAACATTTAAAAGCCTTATACATGTCTAATTCCAGATGTTATCTTAATATAATATATAGTAAAAGTTGAAACATAGTCCAGTCAATGCTCACATAATAGTAAGAAAGTGAGGAAAAAAAAAAAAAAGGGGAAGAAGGTCATAATTCAATAAAGGGAGGTATAAGTGCAACCTTAAAATAATTTTGCATTTATTTTAAAAAATGGCACATCTCGAAGTCTGCATTTAGACCATTCGGGATTAAAGTATTTAATTTAAAGATCCACTCCATCTCAATTTTACTCATTTTGCTGTCAAAGTTGCCTCCCCTCCAATCCTTTTTGACTTTTATAATTCCTAAAAACGTAGTGTCTTTCATGTCGCATTTATGTGCAATTTTATAGTGTAAAGAAACGCTATGTTTTTCAAAACCTTTTAAAATGTTACGACTATGTTCTTCAATTCTGATATGTAGGGGTCTGGTGGTTTTCCCTATATAGCATAGACCACAAGGGCAGATCATTAAGTAAATGAGGTTTTTTGAGTGGCAACTCAGAAAATCTTTAATTTGATATTCTTTACCATCTTTATCTCTAAAAAGCTTTATATGCCTTTTTTTTATTATTAGACCTTTTGCACGCTAAGCATTGGCCACACCCAAAAAATCCCTTATCCGAATTTAAAAAAGTATTCGTACTTTTCTTTTCCTTTAAAAAGCTTGAAGTCAGAGAATGGCGTAAATTGTCAACCCCTCTGTGTATAAATTTAGGTCTTTCTGGAAGAAAAGGTTTTACACCTGGATCTTGTAATAAAATTGGCCAGAACTTAGAGATTATTTTTCTTACTTTTTTGTTATCTGTGCTGAAGTTGCATATAAAAGGGAGTTCCATAAATGTATTTTCCCTTTTATCCTTATATTTCAAAAGTTTCTCTCTTTCTATCATTCTTACTTCTTTCCTGGCCATTTCTAATTTTAACTCTTCATATCCTTTCTCTATAAAATCTTCTTTAATTTTAATAGATTGGGTCTCAAATACAGTTGGATCCGTACAATTACGCCTAATACGTAGAAACTGTCCTCTGGGGGCATTCTCAAGCCACGGAGAGTAGTGGCAACTTTCTCTCTCTATGTAGCTATTAGCTTCTACCGTCTTAAAATAGTTTCTAGTTTTAATCTTGTTTTCTTCAATGTATATTACTAAATCTAAAAAAATGATTTCCGTCTTGCTCCAATTGCTACTGAGCGTTATACCCCAGGTATTCTCATTTAAAAAATTAAAAAATTCAATAAGATCTTTTTCTTCTCCTTTCCATACAAAGAAAATATCGTCAATGTAACGACCATAGGTAACCAAGCTTTCCCCCCAGCCATGAGTGCCATAAATAAACGTATTCTCCCAATGGGCCATAAATAAATTAGCATAGCTGGGGGCAAACTTGGTTCCCATGGCCGTCCCATTGATCTGGAGGTAAAAGTCCTCTCCATACCAAAAATAATTATTATTTAAAATTAACTCAATCCCTTCTAAGATATATTTAGTTTTGCTATCTGTAAAATCTGGACTTTCACTTAAAAAATGTTTAACAGCATTACAACCATATTGGTGTGGAATGTTACTATAAAGAGCTGTAACGTCACTTGTGACTAAAAAACAATCACTATTCCAAGTGCAATTTTCCAAAAGATTTAAAACCATAATGGTATCTTTAATATATGAGGTAGTCTTTTTTACTAATGGTTGGAGATGAATATCTACATAATGCGACAATCTGCTAGATATTGAATCAATCCCCGCCACTATTGGTCGGCCTGGGGGATTCACAATGTCTTTATGAACCTTGGGGAGGAAATAGAACACTGGGATTTTAGGATATTTCATATTTAAATAGTTG